GGCAGGGGCTGGGGGCTGCCTTTGGGTTTGTAGGGCCGGAGGAAAGCGTGTGGGGGCACGGCTGGGGGCGCAGCTGGGAGAGAAATGTGGGGAACAGGAGCTGGGTGGGGCTGGAGTGGGGTGAGGGCAGGGGGGTGTCGGGCTGGGATGATGGAGGAGGGGGAGGGGAGGGGGGTTGGAGACGATGGATGCAGACAGGGAGACTGACGGGAGAGGGGGGAGCAGGGAGCACTGCAGGAAGGGGGTAGGCGTCTGTGAGTGCTGCTGACGGGGGGCAGACCTGAAAATAATGGAGGCTGGTTGGGTGGTCACCGGGCCCAGCTGAAAGGGAGGCACAGGGGCTGCAGGCCTGGACGGAGGAAACTGCTGGGGCTAGGTGTTATAATGTTCCTTGAGGGCCACAGGCTGGGGAGGAGAGGGGCTCTTGCAGGCTGCTGCGTGAAGGTGGAGCTGTGGGACGGATCGGGAGAGGCATCTGTGTGGTTCTCCTTCTAGGCAAGGGAGAGAGTTGGGAACTGCTCCGCAGGTTTTGCGGAGGAGGGGGTGTCAAGGTGCTGAAGCGTAAGGCTCCAGCATTCAGCGGGTTTGGAGAGTCGGTGCAGAGATTCGGAGGAGACACCGGGAATCCCTGGATGTCCCAGGAGCCTCTGGCTCCATAGTTCGCTTGCGCTTTGGTTATTTTTGGCTCCCTGTGATGTTATCTTAACAAAATACATCACATTTTCTTCGTGACTAGCTTTGGAAAAAATGGAGCTTATGGTCTTGTGAGCACTGTTGGAAGATGTGCTACAGTAGTAGGGTTTCATCGCCTTTTCTCACCTCTTTGTGGTGTCAGGTGCAGCAGAAATGGATTCCCAGGAGATCAAAGAGCTGCAGCAAGAAGTGATGGAGGCGCTGGGAATCTCCATGGAGGAGCTCCAGGATATCATCGACAAAGAGCTGGAGAAGTTCGAGTGCGTGAAGCAGAGGAAGCAGCAACTGGAGGAGCTGGAGAAGTGCGTGAAACAGAAGGAAGAAGAGGTGGCTCGCGTTGACCGGCTCTTCGATGACGCTTCGAGGTGGGTGTGCTTGGAATTGCAGCTGCGTGTCAGAGTTGGGCCTCAGAGCAGAGGGGGAGATTGGGGGCCGAGTCCCATGTCCTGAGTGCCGCCCATTTCCCTTTGCTGTGGACTGACGCTGTGATTCTGCATCAGTTCATTTGTGTGTGGTTATTGAGGGATAATTAAAATTACTCCCCTGTGGCTTTAAATCCTTCGTGTGAACACTCTTCCCTCACCTCATCATGGTTGTGTTTAATTAGCCGCTCCCCAGTGGTCGGTTCCTGGTTTTTTTTCTGCAGTATTGTGGGGCGTACAGCTGGGCTCACCTTGCCTTTTACTGTCCCTACCCTTCTCTTTTTTCCCCAGAGCCATTGATAAATGCGAGATATTGGTGAAGGATCTGTACTCCAAGCTGGGCCTCCAGTACCGTGAGAGCAGTTCTGAGGACGAGGACTTGGCTGCCAAGGCCACAGAAGTGATTGAGATCCCAGATGAGGATGACGATGATGTCATGAGTATCGATTCGGGCTGGAAGCACAGTTCAGTATCTCATTGCACCACATGGTACCGGGGGGAGGGATGGAGACCTGAGCGTGTCCTGGAGGAGGATGGGAATGAGGGACATCAGAATAAGGATATCGTAAAGTTGGCCATAAGCCCCGTGGGTCTGTAAGCAGGAGAGGATGGGGTAGGAAATGCCGTTGGCTCATGTGAGGAATATCAATGCTGGCACGGTCTGCTGGGGCCCGTGACTGTTCCATGGTTCCTGGAGTCCCAAACCGGGACTTTTCCCTTTTCCCACCTGCCTGGTTGCTGTCCCCATCAAATGTTGCCCCTGCAGGGAAGCTGCCTGCGCAGAGTGACGTGGGTCTAGAAAGGGTGGCCTTGCTCAAGTGGATTTCTTGACAGGGACAGAGAAGGCTTTTGAAGGGATGCTTTTCTCTGTTCCCTCTTCTTCCGGTGACTTAACTAGGAAGGATTTTTTTCCACCCCGAGATGTTTTAAACCACTTCTTTTCTCTTTAAATGCAGGCGATAGTAGTCCCAGAATCACAAAGGATCAGACTCTGGTGAGTCAGAAAAGACCTGACTATAGTGTGTTACTGCAGTGGGGTTTTGCTGGGACGCTTGGGACATCGTTGTATTTGGTGCAAAAAAAAAAAAAAGAAAAGGTTCTTCATGTTTTCTTTCTCTTTCCTTCCTTTCAGCTGCGGGAAGCCATGGCTGCAATGAGAAAGTCTGCCCAGGATGTCCAGAAATTCATGGATGCTGTGAACAAGAAAACAAATGCGCAGGATGCACAAAAAGGTCAGCGTGTGAGAGCTTCCTGGGGCCGACAGCCATGGGCTGGCACCCATGCCTGCCCTTACCCTGGTCCTGTCTGCTTCCTACTCCTGTCGGTTTTCTTTTGGAAAAAGAAAATAACTGTTCTTTTTCCCTGCTGGAAAGACCCATTAGGACGTAGTGATTCCAAATTCTTAAATTCGTATTTTTCTTTAAGCCCTTTCCAAAAGCAAATACAAGGGGTGCAGTTTCCGTAACATGAAAGCTTTTTAATGTGTTTAAACCTCACTCGCTGATTACTCCATCCAGTAACACTGAGGCAATGAGGCTGACTGAGGTGAAGGAAAGCAAGAAGCCTCCTGTCTCGGGTCCTGTCTCTAGGAATGTTCTTCCAATTGTGCGTGTAAGAGAGGGAGGCTTTGGGCAATTTCTGACTTCCCTCCTGGTGGTGTTCCTTGGGTAGATGCACAGACCCCTCAGGAGACTCCTGGCCCTGTCCAGCCCGTTGGCCCCGCAGCGGCTGCGAATGATCTCAGCAATGACGGTGATCTGAACGTTGGCATGAGGATTCTGGGCAAGAAGAGAACCAAAACGTGGCACAAAGGAACTCTGATTGCGATCCAGACGGTCGGTACGTCCTGTGCGTGCTGCTGTGACCCGCTGCTCGTGGCTTTTGCTAAGCTTTGGGTGGGTGACGTTGATCGGGCTTGGAGCAGGTCCCCTCCCGTGTCAGAGCACCTAGTGCCACCTGGAAAGACTCGTGAAAGCAACACATCCCCACTGTAATATTTTACCGTGCAAATTAGTTTCTGAAAGGCTTTCAAATAAGCTCTGGGCTGGGATCAGAATGGTGCACGGTGTTGGACATCTTGTGTGAAATCACGTGGCTTTTGTTTACCTTGCTGTGTTGAAATGTCTTTCAGGTGCTGGAAAGAAATACAAAGTGAAATTTGATAACAAAGGGAAGAGTTTGCTTTCTGGCAATCACATCGCTTACGACTATCACCCCTCACCCGAGAAACACTATGTGGGCAGCAGGGTTGTGGCAAAATACAAAGACGGGAACCAGGTCTGGCTGTATGCTGGCATCGTGGCTGAAACCCCAAATGTAAAGAATAAAGAAAGGTATTCGTCCTCCTCCACGGTCCTGTACCACTCGCTCTATGGGGTTTGGTTTTGTTTGGTTTGGTTTTTAGGAAGAAAAAAAAAAGGTGTATTTGGTATTGTGGGAGCTGAATTCTGCCCTTTCTGGGGATGTAGCTCTGAACGTTGTTTCTTCGGTCTTTCATATCTCTGAAAGCCCTGGGAAGAGCTTCCATTCTGTTACTCCTGTCCCTGAGACAGAAATTATATCTGGTAATTCATTCAAATTATCAAACGTAAGTCTGCACTGCTCAAGGCACAAAACACAGCATTGGGAGATAAGAGCCCTAGAAGCATTTAGTGCCAGTGGTGCTGCCAAAGCAGTTAAGGAGGAGAAACGGCAGGTCTGCGGCAGCGTGTAAATAAGGGGCACGGCTTCCTCGACGCTGTGGCTTAGGCTTGTGGTCTTTCTGAGGGGATTCATAAAGGATAGAATCACCCTGTTTGTTTCAAATGTGGATCTGCCGTAAAGGCCTAATTGCATTCAAGTTCTAGCTGATGCGTGTTTAATAACCAAAACCAAACTGCATTTATCAGTCACATTGCAAATTTACTCCTCCTGGCTGGGCTGGCTGTAAGGCTGCTCTCTCGTAATGCAGCCTTTATACAGCTCCCTAGCCTGAAGTTATTATTCAGGGGCACACAGCACTAAGCGGGTGCCGTACCCAGCCCTGTGGGTATCCCCCTCCCAGCTCCCGGTCACCCGCAAGCACTGGGGAGTCTCTCATGCTCTCTCCTGTCTGCAGGTGGAGCCCTGGAGGTGTCCCCCAGCTCTCTCCCTGTGGTGCTCTTTGAGTCACGGCCTCTGCTGCTCTGTCACAAAGGCTCCAAAAATATCTTTTCTTGCAGAGATTAGGAGCAATGAAACTGTCTTTATGCTTCCTTTACCTCCTGTGGCCGAGGCACAGAGGGGATCTGGAGCTGAGGGAGGAGGGCCTGGCTGTGCTATGCTGCTGGCAAGCTTTGGGCAGCCTCTCGTTTGGCGTTGGGAGCGTGGGGGATAGCTCGGGGCTGGGGGAGGGCTGTGCTGAACCAACCAAGGGACGCAGCAGTACTGCAAAGCTCATCGCCCTCTGGCAGAAATGATCGCTTCATTCTGTCCTCATCCACCACATCTGATCTGAGGGCCTTTGGGACAGGCAGGAGAAGCAGGAGGGCCCCTCCCTTTTCATTGCCTGACGGGGAGCTGCGTTTCATTCAGCTGTGTTTCTCGTTCCAACTTCCAACGCTTGTCCTCTTTGCTCTTCTCCAGGTTCCTGATCTTCTTTGACGATGGCTACGCTTCGTACGTCAAGGAGTGGGAGCTGTACCCAATCTGCAGGCCCCGTGAGTGATCTCTGCCCCTCCTGTGTCCTAACTCTGAAACTGTATGGAGAGCCCTTGGGTATATGAGAAGCCCGGGCTCAAAAGATAGGGGACAGAGTGCATGGCCCCTCCGGTGCTGTGCCTGTGGACGTTTGCCTATGAGGAAGTAGTGGTTTATTACCAGCAGGGTGAGTGTGCTGTGACTCTTTGCACTCTGGGTGCGTTAACGGGGCTGGGTGCCCTACCACCCGAAATCCGGCCACTCGGGATTGCTGCTGATTGTTCTTGTGTAAAAATCCATCTGGGATCTCTTTAAAAAAGAACTAAAGATTCTCTTTGTAAGAGTCTTTCCTCCTCTTCCCTTTCTCCCATCCATACCTTTTTAAACAGTGCAAAAGACCTGGGAAGACATCGAGGATGTTTCCTGTCGCGATTTCATCGAGGAGTACATCACGGCCTACCCCAACCGTCCCATGGTGCTGCTGAAGAACGGCCAACTGATCAAAACAGAGTGGGAAGGGACCTGGTGGAAATCCAGAGTGGAAGAAGTGGATGGCAGTCTGGTCAAAATCCTTTTCCTGGTAGGGCAATTTCCCTTCTCCCCTAGAGGGGCAAGATGGGCTTAAATTTGAGTCGGGGGGGAGCTGACTCTGTTGGGCTGATCCTTGCTAAGGTCAGACAGGGGCCTGGAGCGAGCAGGTATTTGCTTAGTAGGTAGACTGCCAATTTCTACTGTGTGTTGATGTGAAGGTGGGACTCTCATTTGTGTGACCAAAGCTTCAGAAGCCTTCTAAAGCATTTTGCATGTGAAACTTTGAAGTGGTGGCTGAATAAGAAACAAACCCCATCATCTGCAGGTGTTCTACCCTGGTCCCTTTCTTGATGTAAACACCTAGCCATGTCTTCTGTCCAAATACAAGCGCTGGTTGGAGAAGCAGGAGAGAAACCGAGCAGAAGCTGCGATATTCTGCGTCCTCAACTTCTACGAATTGCAGAAAGGGAGCAGACATGCTATCTGTGCCCACTTGGCTCCCTTCCTGCCCAGATCACTGCATAGCCGCTGGGGCAGGGGAAGACACCATGCACTTGCAAATTTAACCTCCCTGTCCTGGAGCAGATTTGGTTTGGGCCAAGGAGTTAGCTTGTCTCCTGAGGGAGTCTGCTTTCTCCAACAGTGCCTCGTTAGTCAGTGTTTGGGTTGTGAATAGAACTGCATTGGAAGTTTGGGGTCTTGGGACTGGGCCTCTTCTCTAGATCTGGTTCGTATTCGGTGTTCCCCAGGTACGATGAATTACTGCCTTTGTCCTCTCTTGGCTGCATGGTCTTTCAAGAGCCTTCAGGTCAATGCTTTGCCTCCTTCCCATTCGATTCTGCTCGCCGTAAAAGCACGCTGCTGTCTCCCAGGCCTGTATTGTACCTCTGGAAGCTCTTGCCGTAGGTGCTGTGAGTGTTGCCTTCTCCTTGCTGCAGGATGACAAACGTTGTGAGTGGATTTACCGGGGTTCCACACGCCTCGAGCCCATGTTCAGCATGAAAACTTCCACAGCCTCCACCCAAGAGAAGAAGCAAAGTGGACAAGCAAGGACTCGTCCCAATGTTGGTATGTGGCATCTTTTTCTTTCATTTATATCCTGGAATTCGAACGAACGCGTTGTGGGTTGGCGGGGGCGGGTGGGTTGGGTTTTGTTTGGTTTTGGTGGGGTTTCTTTAGCAGAGCTCCTGGCGATATAAGATTTACAGTGGGCTTTTTCTCCCGGCATAAAGACACCGCAAAACCAGACTGCAGATGGGTGAGGTGGCCAGAATCTGTTTGGGGTGACTGGCTGTGACTCAGAGCTCAGCCAATGACCTGGTGTTAATTGCAAGTGCCTCTTGTTTTGGTTGCCTTTGGGAGCTAAATCAATATTCTGTGGCTAGTGCAACAAACTTGGGTTAACGGTAGAGGCCTTTCTTGTTGATACTTTGCTTCCCCACTAGGTGCTGTCAGGAGCAAAGGGCCTGTAGTCCAATACACGCAAGATCTAACCGGAGCTGGTACCCAGTACAAACCTTTAGAGCAAATGCAGGCAGCCTCCCTGGCTGCACGCTCCGTTTCTCCGCAGCTTGCTGAGATGGAGTAAGTACCTGAGTCAGTTCTCTGCTTCCACCACTACCTCCTTTGCGTTTTGACTCCAGTGCTCAGCTCTTTCAGGCATCACCCTTTCTGTGTAGAGGAGTCCTCAGGTGCGGGTTCCTCCATGACTAGGCTTGTTTCCTGGGTACACAGATTGCTTTTAGTCATGCTTCTGGGGGAAACTATGGATAAAGGCTGCTGGTTGAGTAATTGAGGGCGGGAGAGCTGACAGCCCAGCACCCCCTGGGCCGAATGCCGTGTTCTTACTCGGCTAAAGCTTCGCACTTGATGTATTTCCAAGTTAGAACGTTTGCTCCTTCTCTTCCGAAAATCTGAATTGCTCCCTCGTGTCACGATCCAGGCACTGGCCCCCGGCTGCCTTGTATTCCTCTACTCGGACTGACCTGCTCGCAGACCTCAATGACTTACGGGGCGCTGAGAACTCGGGATCAGTGGTTGGTCTCGCTGGTCACGGACCAAACCTGATAAAGCTCAGCCATGGCCAAGTCACACACATGCCTCCTGCTGCCAGGGGCCCAAGCGGGATGTTCGTGGAGGTGCAGGCTAGTGCCAAAGGAGGCCTGGATGAAGGAGAAACTCGGCCTTGTGATGAAGGGATCGTGTTGGAGAACACCAGGGTACCTGAGCACGTGCTCTGGGACTTTAATAACATCTAGAGATGCTGTCCCGGTTCTTTTTTGTCACCGCGGTGGATTTCCTATCCGTATTTATGGATGCCTGGCCCCCTGCCAGAACATTTGCTGTGACTGTGCCTTGCTGTACGGACAAAAGGGAGAAAGGAGATGTCCCAGCTGTAAGGAACTTGTGTGGCAAGCGAATCTCTATTCACCGGATGCTCTCTAGGTGTAGCAGCATCTAAGAAACCCTGCCTGCCCCCAGCCTCTGGTCTCAGGAGGGGGTTCCTCCCCAAGTACTGGTGCAATATGGCCCATTCTGCCCCTGGATGTGGGGGCTAACTTGGAAATGCTCCTCCTGTGCTGTTCTGACCACGACTTGAGAATCGAAGCCATAACAGCCTTGTTCCTCATCTCTTGCATCACCAAGAAGAAAGGCCGATGCTGAAGGGGGTCTGCTCCAGCATGAGAAGCGCAACACTGGCCCCTCCACCACCCGTCTAGGGCCCTACTTGTGAACAGAGGAAGAGCTGTGCTGTTGCCCTAACGCTAGGGTGCCCCGAGCTGTCGAGGGCGTAGGAAGGATGTGCAGTGACACAGCAGGAAGATGATAAAGTTGGGCTGTGGGGATGAGCCGGCCTGCAGACTCTCTCCTTTTCCATTTTACAGTCCTTGCAGTGGTTACTGTGCTTTTTTTTTTTTTTTTCCCCCCCTCTCCCTGCAGAGGCTTTGACTTTAGGATCTTGTTTTTAGGTGTAACACAAGCAGACACTACAGATGTTTCTCTGCCCCACCATTAAATTGTGAACTGCTTAAAGGCAACTGGTTTTTAACATTGACCGAAGGCAGCGTACCATATCCATGTCCCCGCTGTCCCGAGGGATACTGTTGGGTTAAAAACACGCTGGGTTCAGATGATTAAAACTGGGAGGATGGTTTCTTCACTCTGGTGTTTTGTTTACTCTGAGGAAGGCCTGGTTCTCTTCCCTCTCTAGTCTCACTTTCAAGTTCTTCTACGGTGCCAGGGAGCTGCTGCCAGCCATTTCTGACTGTTTAAAGCCCGTTGGCAGAAGCTGTTTTCTCTTGCTCTTGAATTTTGCAATGTGTGTTAACACCTTGCTTTGAAGGCAGATGTTTGCAGAAACGGTCACCCCCTCCTGCTCTCACCGTCTCCTCCCTTTCTGCCCTGATAACATAACTATGTTCTTCCACTTGTGGGAAAAACAGTGGCTGGTTTGGGGTGGTTTTCTGTTTAATCGGTTTAAATGAACTGAAAATCTCCCCTGTTGTTTTCCCAGAGTGTGAGGGCTAGTGTCTTCCAGGTGCCTCCCACCTTCCCGGCGCTGTTCATCGGGCTGCAGAGGTGGTTGGGAGCCCCTCGTAGCCCTTTCGGCAGTGATGCTATTACATTCCCTTGTACAATCTTACCTCGTTATTTGGCACGGACAAGAGAGTCCTCTGTACTTTTTGTTCCTCCCACTGCTCAGTACCGTAGCAGGTTGAGCCTCTATAAGCTCTCGTTTCTGCAGTGCAGGGGTTTCTTTGTGTGCTGGTTTGCCTGCCTTCCCAAAACGAAGCCCTTGGGCATCCTCGTTACACTCCTCTCACCCCCATGCCTCGCTTCCAAATAAATTGCAGTATGTCAGAAGTAATTTTTAAACATAGCTGAGTTCTGGCCTTTGGTTGGGGTTGCTGCGGGGTCGCTGTAGCACCAGCAGTCAGAAATGAGCTGATTGTCACGCTCGCCAGGAGGAATTCTGCTCGGTTTCTCTCGGATGGGGCACTGTTGCTGACATCCGTGAGGGGCTGTCATTTTGACCGCCCTCTCTGTCTAAATCCTCCCGGTTGTGTGAGTGTGTGCATTTTGCAAATCGCCTCCCTTCTTCCCTTGTGCAGATGCTTGGACAGTCAGCTGGCCCAGTCGAGAAAGCAAGTGGCCAAGAAAAGCACTTCCTTCCGTCCTGGCTCCGTGGGCTCGGGGCAGTCGTCGCCTTCTTCACCTGTCCTAAGCGATACACCCCCGGCGGGACGCACCGGTGCGTCCCAGCAGCATCGGTAAGCAAAGCTTGTTCGCGCTTACCGCAGTCCCCTGTGTTTGGGCTGCTCGTTTGGTTTAGCACAGGTTTATTTTGTTATGGACTGACACCTTTATTTGCCAGCTTGTCCGGTCCTGGGCATTTGTCTTCCTCTTACCTTGTTGTCCCTCCCAGACAACCGATCGTTTCGGTTTGTTGTTGGCTTCAGCTTGGAAGGTCTCTTATCAGTTCTGACCAGCACTTACTTAGTGGGACCCTGGCCAAAGCTTCTGACCCTGCTTGTTTTCAGAGGACTCCTGTTCCTACAAGCTTTCTGGGGCCAGGGAGGAGCTGCTATTAATGTAAACCTGCAGGTGGCTTTTCCGCAGCGATGGCTTTGTGGCAGTCAATCCACAGCACAGAAACCAGTGTTCCCAGTTCTGGGACGACAACCAGCTTGTGCTTGTTTCTG